TACCTTGCAGGGTCAGTCAGCACTTCTGATTATTCCCAAATGTAGCCCTGCTCCCATGGAAATCAGTGGCCAAATGCCCATTGAATTCACTGGTGCAGAACTGGGCTTGTCCTTCCTGACCCACCGAGGGACAGTCCAATGCTGAAGGAGCAATGCTTCTGGTGAGGAGATCTGACTAGTCCGACTGGAGCCAAAGACCTCGGCATTTTGGTAGCAGACTCCCCCGCGCCACCAGAACAACTCGGATTGCTAGGTCTGGGTTAGAAACGGAGATCTCTTCTGAGGGTTGAACACCAGGGCATGCCCACTGGCCTCAGGTTGGGGCAGACGGGGGCCTGGGCATGGAGCGGAAGCAGGCATGAGCGGGAAGGGTCTGTGGGAAAGGATGCGAGAGGGGCTTTTCTGCTGTAAAGTCCCGTGTCCGCCTCAGCTGCGGGCAAGTGATGACCAGGGGAGCGGGCACATGTCCCGTGAGCACCGGGGAGTCAGAATTGCGGCGCGTGAGCTGCAGGAACAGTACACGCTACCGTTCCTTGTAGATAAGCGGCTGCATTTCTGCCCCTCCATAACACCCCTTGAGTTTTTAGTTCTGGCATCTGGACCCCCAGGAGAGGCAGGGTGGAAGGAAAGCTCTTCTTGGAGGCCGATGCACGGTGGACTTGTTCCCCTGGAGTTTGGGGTGAATTCTGCACTCTTCCCCCCACATCTTGGTCTGACAGATGCTGAGCTGGGCTGTACCCAACCGAGAGGAGCTGGAAGACGGGCCTGGCCGGAGCTGTGCTTCCCTAAATGCAGCACGCTCCAGGGGCTGCTGGGTTTTGCTGCTAAGTGGTGAGGCAGCAGCTAATCCCCGCTAGGGTGAAATTAGACAATGGATTATCACCTTTGACATTTCCTCTTTCTCCTTTCCAGCATCTGGGTTCCCCAGACCCAGACGGACATTTGAGAGCTTGTTTTCCACAATAAAGAGTAGCTTTTGGATTCAGACGGGCCCAGGAACATTAACATGCTCAGTGCAGGTCTATACCCTGTCATACTTCTTATCTCAAGGACAGCACCTCCGACAGCAAAATGCTTCATCCATCACATGGGAATATTAACAAGTGTCCAGTGCTCTTGAGCAGGAAGAAAACCTGCGACCCACGGGCTTCGTGCCAAACCTGCTGCTTGCTAAAGCAGCACCTCTCTGGGCACCAACGCAGGCCGTTTGTGGGTCCGTAACGTTAGTGCGCACATGCAGATGAGCTAGCGTGAAGTGTGTGACAGGAGTGAAGAAAAGCCAGCGGTGACTCGCTCGCTGCAGGGCGTGACATTGCAGCACGGTGCACTTTTCCAAGAGGACAGCCATCCCTTGGCACGAAGCACGCGTGAGTGTGCAATGCAGGCGCACAGAGCAGGCCAGGGTGCGCGGAGCACGCTGGGTGTTGCTTGTCCTTGCTTTGTGAGAGTGCAAGCCAGTCTTAGCATTAGTTTGTGTGTGTGGTTTACTTTTCCTTTTTTGTTTGGTATTTTTAATCTCTTGGGAGCGTATCTATGAGCTGAGAAACTTTAGAGCTGATATAGCTTTTTAAAGTGGGGATTATGTAAATGCATATTACAGGGCTTCCATAAATGGGGATTATTTGTCGAATACATTTGAGTGCTTCCTCTGGAGCCATTAAGGTCTGTTGTGTAAATAGGAATTTAGTGACTGTTTATTCTAAATATCATTGATTCAATAATAGCCCGCGACAGCATTTCTCGTTTGCGTTTGTTGTGGCCTCTCGTGCAAATGTATCGAGACAGTTTTCAAATCCTGCCACCATATGTAACAAGGAAAGAAAGCTAATCAGGGGGCAGCTCTCCCTGTGCATTCTCCGCCGGCCTTCTCCAAAGTCCCATCTCTCGCCATCGCGAGCATTTGGAGCAAAACACGCTGCAGCCCAGGCCAGGCGCTTGTTTTCACGCTCGAACTGAAGAGCACGTGCGAGTGTTTCCATCTGCATGAGAGCACGAGAGTGTGTTTTACCACAATTATCTATATTTCTATGCCGGCCTTTAAGAAGCGGCTACCTTTCTGCGCGGGTGGCTGGCTCTCTTGAACGAGCCAAAGGATATTTAAATGAAATGCTCTACATGTTGGGAAACGGCACGTTTCACCAGAGGCGATCGAGATGCGGAGTTCACCTTGGAAATGCTCTACCCTAGGGCTCCTCTCAGCTGCAGCTCCCCTTGCCACACAAGCAGTGCATGGGCACGAGTCGGGTGTCTGACCAGACTGTGCCTTGATGCGGGGCGCAGAGGGCTGAGGCAGGGATGGCTGCACGGAAGAAGAGGACAGCCCAACCCCCCGGCCGGTTTGCATTCTGCACAGACCCCCCCAGGGATCGACTGAAGTCCCAGGATCTGAATCGGGGTGAGATCTGCCCTAACGCGTGAGAACTCGCAACGCGGCCGGTCCCTTTCAGCACCAGGCTACGACATGCTGGCCGAGACCTCCGCACAGGGTGGCACTGGCGAGCCCCGGAGCTGCTCTTCTGCCTGGCCGAGAAGCCCTGGAGCAAAACCCTCGTGCAGCCCTTGGGTGGACATCCACCAGCCCCTGCATCACACCCCTCCGCTCCCAAGCTGATGAGCCCCTACCGCATCACCGACCCAGGGAGCCCGAAGGGGACAGGGAACGAGAGCAACTTTCCCGCACAACCATCACCGGGAAGAATTCCTGTCTGCAGAGACGAGCATTCATTCGGAAAGGCTGACTCTAAAACACCCTGTGCGTGGTGGCACGTTGGACCAGGTCCTGTGCAGGGAGTCCAGTCCAGCCGCCAGCTGTCCTGCAGGTGCTGTTGGCTCCTGTTCCCCAGCATGGGCCTTACAGCTTCAAACTGAGTCCTTATCACGGATCGTGCCTTGCTCTGGATGCCCCCGGTCCGGCGCGGCATGCACGGTCCGGTCCACGTGCCGTTCACAGCAGGCGGCACCTGGCAGAGGCTTGGCTGCGCTCACCTCATTACTGGTGTTGTCCCACCAGCCCAGCCGCACCAGGCAGGTTTCGAAGCTGTCAGAGACACTGAAAACAAGTCACATCGAACATTGCCCACGGGCTTGTTTATTCCTCAAGCAGGGAGCGGACTGCATGCCAATATTCCTGGTAGGACATAATGAAGGAGCTTGTTTCTGCTGGAAGACTTGGATGCCCTCCTAAGGGGGGGCAGTGCTGGATGGCCCGGCTGTGGAAAAGCAACGTACCAAATTAAAGTGGAGAAAAAGCTTTCCAGGCACCCGGGAACGGACAGGGGCCTTCCCAACAGCAGAGCTGCTCCTGGGGAGCGAGCCCCAGCCGAGGGCAGGGAGGCCGGACACATGAATATGCAGATCTCCCACTTGAAACTGCGGTGCCGGGGCGGACGCCTCCCCCTCCCGGCCCCCCTGGCTGCTCTATTCAGGGTCAGTCTGCTCCTCCGCTGTAACCTCCATCACAGGGTTTGCAAATGAGCTAATTTGCAACCCAGCTCTCAGCTCTGGTGAGAGGGCTTCTCCGGGGGAAGAAGCCTCCCGATCTCTCCCTGTGCCGTGCAGCCTCCTTCGCCTCGACTCCACCGGTGCGCTCAGCCAGCCGGGCGGCCCGCGGCTCCGACCTGGAACAATAACTCGATTAGACAAGATGACACGAGCAGGCCTAAAAACAGCGTCACCGCCTGGGAAGACGGCGAGAGGGGCTTTGGCAACCCCATAGGAAAAGGAAGAAAAGTTTGGAAATGAAATCCAGCCCTCAGCCTTTAGAAGCGATTAATCCCGACCGAGGATCTGCTCATTTACAGGCAGCTCGTTTGCACGGAGTTGGAGCCGGGGACATTCATTCATTGCGATTCCCTTGGGGTGGGGGAGACAAAACCCCACAAAAACCGGGATCTGTATAATCGCAAGCTGTCATTGCCGTTCCCTTGTGGGGGGGGGACACAAAAACGGTGATGTATATATAATTGAAGTCGTCATTGCGACTCCCTTGGAGGGGGGGAACAAAACCAAACAACCGGGATTTATATCATGGAAAGCCGTCATTGCTTGTGGGGGGGGCACAAAACCGGTGATTACATACATATACATATATATATATATCTCACCAGCCATCGTTGCGACTCCCTTGGTGGGGAAAGCCGCAGAAACCGGGATGTCTGTAAGGGAGAGGGGTCATTGCGACTCCCTTGGGTGGGGGGGGACAAAACCAAAAGCCGGGATCTATATCTAAGCGAAAGCCGTGGCTGCGATCCCCTTGGGGGTGGGTATGGCGGAGAGCCGTGCAAGCCGCGGGGGGTTGGGCAGGGGTCGTGCCCGGGGGGGCGCGGGGCGG